TATTTGATGTTATACTCACATTATGTACAACCTCATATACACATTGTACATGGGCATACATAAAACATTGCACATGCATTAACATAGACATGCTTGGCATGTAATCCAATGTAATCTATACACATTTTGCTGAGCTATGGTTAATTATCATTACTAACGACCACATTGTCCTAGATAATTGTTGTAAAAAAATACCCCATGATGCTTATCAAGCCTTTATTGCAGAATTTGCAGGATATATAAAAGGAGCATGGAAAGGGAACGGGGGTATTATAACCTAACCTTTGATATATAAATATCCCGTCCCTTCCAGACGTGGGATCCACATGATGGTTAGTGATTTTAGACATCTTTAAACTCAAAATTTGCTTTTAATTTTTGCGCTTCTTTCATGGAAACAAATTAAGCAGCCACAGCTGGCGACTATACCCCAGAGCAGTAAGAGCCTTGTGCATGTCCATACTTTTTTAGCATCCTAGGTAACCGACCAGCTGGCTGGTAACCTTTGCTTCTGTAGCAGTCTCCATTCTTCTGGGAACATTGTCCAGTACAGGTTTGTCCCTTCAGCCTTAATGACTGGTTACATACCAGGGATTAGTCTTGGCTCACCATCAATACAAAATCTCCTTTGATAGGTGTTCAATGGGTTTGAGATCAGACATCAGTGTCAGCCAACTTGCTGTGCACCAGTCTTAGCAAACAACCCCTGTGCCGTGGTTATTATCACACCAAAACAGGAAAGGACAATCCCAAAACTGTCACTGCAATGCTGACCGCACAGAATAGAGCAGAACGGGAGTAGCCCCAAAGATACACCACAATGTTTTACAGTGCACCATATGAGACGATATTCTAAAACATTATGTGGTCTACCTTTGGCGTAGAATGTCTCGGTTTGCTGTATCAAACCACTATTCCAATTTAGTGTCCTGGCATTCACTAAACACCAGGGCTGTCAGAAAAAAAAGGCAGGGCAGGGTGTTGATTGACCCAGGTGAGAAGCCAAACCAATTCAAAATAGTATGACTTCCTACAATGGGAATGCCAGGACAATCCTGGCACCATAAATACTACAGCGCACAGTAGTGGTTAGGGTGCTTGGAGTGTTCCTTTAACAGTAAATTCTTGAAAACTCACTACAGAATTACAAAGTTAATGCCAAATTAAAACATTCTATAAGTCAGCTATGATTCCACCTCATCTATTTTAGTCTAAAAATCTGAAATCTCTTGAAAGTCATTGTTTAGAGAATAACCATGGTGCCTCTCTCCCTGTTCCCTCACCCTTCTATTGAGGAATGGAGCGGGCAGAATTAATGTTGGCACCTGGGAAAAACAGCTGCTGCCTAGTTATGTGACTCCCATCAATCTCAGGCAGGTCTGGACATGTATGACCCTATAATTAAATTTGCAATACTTCTTTTGAGAAAAACTGCCCATTGAAATAACAATATATCATGAAAGTACTTGCAAAACAAGTACTGTATGCTCAACATGTAAAGGGGGAGGAGAAGTCAAAACAGCTTTTACATTATTTTAAATTTTTCTTTTTAATATTCAGGTTAAACTCTCATAATTAGCAGCAAATATCTATGATGAGTGTGCAATATTAGAAATGGTTTGTTCCCTCCCATAATAACAAGGTGTTAATTTAACTCTTACCTGAGAAACAACAAAATATATTTTTTATTTATAAAATATTTTACCTGGAAGGATACATTGAGATTTATCTCATTTCAAGTATGTCCTGGGTTCACAAAATCCCAAATAGTTGGCTAATAAATGGCCACCAAGTCCAAGCAAAAAAAAAACAACAAAAAACCCAAACATTATTATACATAGTAAAAAATATATATATTTTTATTTTTTTACACATCTAGATTTTATAAAATGTGTTTTTGTGCCATGTGGATCACAGTTCACACTGTTAATACAAAATCTGTTTATATTTAAAATGTAATGTCTAAACGTGTTTGCTCACTTACACAACACATTGTTTATAAACAGCACGACATTTAAATGGCAACACAGTAACAACCCCAAAAAGCCCTAAATGCCTCCCAGCTCTGCTCCTGCAAAGGGGTTAAATCCAAGGGGTCTGCCCACAGCCCCCTCCTTAGCTGTAGTAATGCTCAGTATAGAGGCGTGTCCTCCCCCTTACTCTGTAAGGAGGGGTAATGGAGGGAGGGCGCTCTCTGACTCGAGCTACGTTTGGGATCTCTACTCAGGGCTCTTTGCATTGAGTGAGCTGGTGATCACGGTGCGGACTCCACCTTCTGAGGACCCCCCGGCCGCCGGAAAGCAGGTCGAACCGTGTTCTCTCCCCCTAAGTGACAGCCCAGGACTGTCCTAGAGCAAAGTTAATGTGCAACAAGGAGTCCTGTGCCACTGCTAACATTTAACCTGGACTAACACGG